CCCCCGGCTCCCGCGCGGCCTCCCTGGTCCAGGCCGGCGGGGCGAGGTGGGGCGGGAGCGCCCTGCTCTGCTCTGTCCTCTGAGGGCGCCTTCACTGCCAGGCGGGAGCAGGGGGAGGCCCTTGCCTTTGTGTGGAGCAGCCTTGAGGGGTGTCTGCCCTCTCAGGTGCCGAAATGTCCTCGGGGTCCTGGAGAAGTGGGGCTGGAGGGCTCCTCCAGCGGGCACCTAGTCCCACCCCTGCCCGAGGGCGGATGGCGGGGTCGTCCCTGCTCAGACTGGCCTGTACAAATCCATAACCTGAGCTCTTCCTAAAACCGCTCTCAACAAAGCCTGCAGCTTCAGGCAGCCTGGCGCGAGCCGCAGCAAAAGTTGCATGGCTGGGGAAGCGATGACAAGCCTTGCGGTACCAAGCAAAGTATCCAGCAGCCCAGGCTTGGTGGGTGAGGGCACGCGGCTGCCTCTGGACGCACCCTTGTTTAGAGGAGTGGGGGGAAATGGGTGGAAGACCTGTTGATGTGCTCTGGGCACATGGAAAGGGAGGAAATGGCAAATATGACATCATGATGGGTGGGTGTCTTTGCTATAGGCCCCAGCCGGGAGGATAAGTTGGATGATGGTTTGATTTGATGTCTTTCTTTATTTCTTTAACATCAAGTAGATCTAATGGAAGCATTCCTCCCTGCTTGCTTCTGCGGCTGTATGGCTGAGGGCAAACGAAACTCAGGGGCATCCGAACCGCAAGCCTCTGGGCTTGGGCCTGCACGTAGGATGCCCACCAGAGGATTTGGGAACATCTGAAGCCCCAGATGGGGGTCAAGGATGTTTGCCGGTAGTAGGGCCACTTATTGTTCTGGACTGTCTCTGATTTGGAATTGATTTGGCTTGGGACATGGAAAAATTTAAATTATAATAATAAGAAGATCTATTGGAAGCGTTCAAATCATAGGTCTTGGTCTGTTTGAGGAACTTTATCTGTGTCCTGCAGATCGCATGGCAGTCCATGTGCCCAGCATTTTTATAAGATGAGCTTGAGAACTTAAATTCAATAAGTTTGGACACTAAGTACACCAGGGATTTAACATAGTGACTTCATGGCCCTTTATAGTCTACTTCATAACTTCTGCACTTCACTGGTGATAACAACCCTCTTGAGCAATCTTTTTTTTTTACTTATGCTTTTGTTCTGTCTGCTGCTTAGCTCTGCTGTGTCTGCTTCCCTCCCAGAGGCCAGAGGGATATGCCTACATCTATTCCAGCTGGGCAGTTGGCCCATTAAAATAGATCACCCACAAGAATTCTTGCCTCTTTGCAATTTTTAAAGAGTTATGATTATGTTAAGCCTTGTTGAACTTAGGCTAGAAGCAGACGTTGCATTAGTCCTAGGACACATTGTGACCATGTTTCTGACAGATAATAAAAGTCCTAGGACCAGCATGCACACACACACACATCATTCTTTCAATCAGGGTTTCATGAGCAGCTGAAAGCACTGCTGCTTCTCTGCCATTGACTCAGTGATGTAGTCTGGAGGTTCAGACATACTTTGTGATGTCCTGCGACAAACTTTCAGCACTTTTTGTCCCATGATCCTCTTTAGGATTTGTCTTGGGACAACAGATATGAATGTCTGAATGAGTAAACTTTGTTCTGGGATAAAATGTTTTTTTCTGGGGACAAATGTGATGTCTGTTTGTAGCCCTAGTGGGTATAACAGCTATCCTCCATTTGGGATCGGGATCAGTGTAAAAAGTGGCTGACCTCCTGTATAGAAACATGCAGAAACTAGGGCAGGCTGGCACTGTAGAGACTGCCCTATCTTCTGCCTGACTTGTGACTAACATGACTGAGCCACCTCTCTTTATAGACGTAGATAGCTGAAACCGTAGTGGCCTCTGCCCAAAGCAACAAAACATATAGACAGTGGGTTTTAACTGGTTATTGTTTTAGAGAGGTGTGAGAAAGAAAGCAAGCAAAAGTCATGACAGTCTGAGCACCCTGAGAATGTGGCCCTGAGAAAAGATTATAGATAAAGCTTTTGGGCTAAGTGCCGACTAAGAGGAGGCTTGGAGCAGTAAACAAGGACTGCCTTGTTAGTTTTTTCTCCTGTATTCATACAAACTGGGCTTTGTATCTTCATTATAGTGAAGCAAAGCATCAGAGAGAAACCTGACTTAAGCATCAGTTTATTTTGATAGGAACAACCAATGGGAGACCACATTTTTAACTGTGTTCTCAGTTCAAGAGGGATAATGGAAGGCATTTCCTGCTACTTGAAAACAAAGTACCACTCACAAAATAAGTTTGGAAGTGTCAAGTCATACTGTAGTAGACCCAAGTTTCAGCAGCAGGTGTGGAGGTGCAGGGTTGTGCCCCCTGCTGCTGCCAGGGGGCAAGGAGTGCCTTGTCATGGTGGTGTGGGGCTCCTGGCAGTAGCACTGAACCTCCTTGCCCAGACCTGCTCTGGTCTGCCGTGCTAGGTCCTGTCAATTGGGCTGCGGAGGCCCCAGGGGGAGTGCACCAGACCACCCTTTCCCCTCCCCTTCCCCACCCCCCCTGTGCCCCACAGGTTCCACTCTAGCCATGCTGCCTGTGGGAGAGGGGGAGCTGGTCTGCTCTGCTTCCTGCTTGGGGTGCAGCAGCTGCTGCTGCCTCCTATGGGCAGCAGCTGGGGCTCAGGCACTGCTGGGAAAGCAGGGGGTTGTGGACTCGGGTCCCTGGCACCGTAGCCTTGGCAGCTGTGGGCCCCTCTGGCAGGGCTGGGGGTGGGGTGGGGTGGGCTTGTAGGGAGGGGCAATGGCATGAACAGGGTACTGGCATATCAGGGCTGCTCAGCTCCACAAGGGGCGGGGGGGGAGCCATAGCTGGACCTGCGTTCTGGTGAGTGAAGTGGGCAGGGAGAGCTCTGATTTTTCCATGATTATTATAAAACAAAAATCAAATACCAAAATTTATAGGTATTTAGAATTAATTTCATTATAGTGACTGAGGCACTGGTAGGCTTCCAAATCGCTTTAAAATTGTAAATATATCAATAAAATATTGTGTTCAACTGATACCTATATATGTAGTGGCATTTCATTTTAATTGTGGAAAAATGCAGATTTTGGGGTTTTTAATCAGAATTTGCAAAAAATGTATACACAATTTGTGATTTTTTTTTATACAGAGAAAAACCAGGATCCCTGTGACTGCAAAAAAATAAACAGGGTGCCTGACCAACCAGTTACCATCTGATCCTATTTAGTGTTGAGATGAGACTGCAAAAGTGTGTGCAGATAAATAGAATTTTCTGTGTGTTAACCACAGGTGTTAACTTTACTCTTATTTTTTTCTCCCAAATATTTTTTTGACTTAGGATCAGAAAATGCTTGTGAAAAGACTTCATTTATGTTTTTACGTCAAGAGTTACCTGTAAGATTGGCAAATATAATGAAAGAAATAAGCCTGCTTCCAGACAACCTTTTAAGAACACCTTCAGTTCAGCTAGTGCAGAGCTGGTAAGAACTGTTTTGTTAGTATATTATCTTTTAAGAGTTTCCTTTGCAATTAATGTTAAGTGAAATGAATAAATCAATGATTTTATAGGGGAAAAAAGACTCCTTGTGGTGTTTGTGGTATCATTACACAGTTTATTCTGAATAAAATAATTTAGAACTTAACGGAGAGAGTGGGTGTGTTTATACATGCGCTTTAATGTGCATTAGCCAATTTTAACACGAATTAAAGCCTCACTACGGGCATTTTTACATGTGCCCTGGGGCATTGTGGTGGGCACTTTAATTAGCAAGCTGCATTAATTAAAGGGGCCCACGTGTCACATATATCAGCGTCCCCCGTGTGTCCTTGCGCTGAAAAAATGTCAGCAGGGCACTTTGAACTAAAGCTCATCTAATGTGTTTTATTGCAAAACACCCCACCACCATTTTTTCAGAGCGGAGATGTACGGGGACAATGATACCCATAATGCGAAAGGCTGCTGCAGCGTGTCAGTTTCCATGCTTCAGCAGACTCGATTAATTGAGTCTGCTCCGATGCACTGGATCTCTAGTGTGTTGGAGCGCCCCGCAGATGTATAGGAGCCCTAAAAAACCATGCTGTTTAGTTAATGTGCGTTAAAATAGGCTAATATGCATTGTGTCACTTAAAAAATGTGCTGTTTAGTTAATGTGCATTAAGACAGTATAATGCACATTTTCCTAGTACCTCACAATAGCAGTACTAGATATAATGTGTATTAACTAAAGCACATTAATGCATGTGTAGATGCACCCACTACTAAGTACAGCATTTTAAACTTGGGCCGTGTGTAGACGAACTGAGAGGCGTGTGCACGACACTTTAAAGCGGGCTATGCACCACTTTAATGGTGTTGATGTTTGCACGCGTTGGCGGTGTATTGTGTATTAATTCCAGCTGCTGTGGGAAATTCGGTAGTGTAATGCACCTTAAGTGACTTGGGGTGCAGCAAACTAAAATGTCTTCAAGTAGTTTTAGTTTGCTGCCCCTACAGCCGTGGAGCGAAGCACTGGGCTCCATGCAGCTCCATGGCTCTGCAGGAAGCCCTTCAGGTAGCCTGGCAGCAGCCCAGGAAAGCAACCTCTGCCCAAGAAAAGCAGTGAGCCTGAATTTTGCACCCCCCCCATCCTTGGGGCCTACTTGCCTGCCTGATCTGCGTGCTTCCCTCTGTGGCTGCAGTGCCCCCCGGGCCGGGTGCCTGTGGGCAGGTGCTGCCTGGGGGGAGTTGTTGCTGCTGCGGAGGGAAGCACCAGCCCCCACACAGCCCAGGGACCGCTCCGTCCACCAGCAGCTCTTCCTCCCCTCCGCACTGGAGAGGCAGATAAGTCAGTGGGATGTGTACACGACACATGGGGTTAATCAGCCCCAAATTGAAGCTATGTTGTTTTTAAAACCCACCGCTTCAATTTAGGGCTCCTGTTTCATCTATACATGCTCTTATATACCAGCCTATATTTGATTGAGAATTTTGAGCATTTGATTGCTAGTTCATGACACGTACATTTTCTTTCTTAGAATATACAAATGGTTAGTCAGTTTCACTCTTCTAGTTTGACTGGTTATCTGCCATTACTTCAAACTCCTTTTCATTGTTATTTCATTCAAAGATACAGCCCCACAGCATAACATATATTGTTTGCGCCTGAATGTATGATCTTGCATTTAGTTGTTGAAAGTCATGTTGTTCAAGTGATCCAAACTTGAGGAGTAATTCAGAGGAGCCTATATCACTGGCTTTTCTCTTTATTTTCTCTTAGGCCAATATATGTCATCTGTAATCTTTGTCAGTGTCAGTTTCTTTCAGTTTGGCATGCTGACCAGCTCTGGGCCAACAGTAGATCATTGTAGGACCTCATCTGAAACACCCAAGAGGATAATGCCTTGTTTAGTTAGCTTGTGATCCATTAGCCAGTTTATTATATATACATTTGATAGGGGTTATATTGATTCATTGTAGTAAATGTTTTATAACAGCATGATGTAGGATTAAGTCAGATGTCTTATAGGTTATATATATTATGTCAGTTCTCTTTTCATTTTTTTTATATTAAATTGGTTCATAATTTGACAAGATCTGTTCTCTATAAAAGCAGGTTGGTTGCCACTTATGGTATTGTTTAATGATAGAGTCTCTTATTAGCTACCTGTTGTTTTGCCTAGTATCAGTTGCCCACTGCTGCTTTTAGCTTCCCTGTTTTGATGTTGTTTTGTTTTTAAATGCAGCTTTGCTTTATCTTAACTAGAATGGTGTTAAATAAAAAAAAGTGTTTTGTTTGTGTTCGAGTGTCTAGAAAGTTCTCATTCAGTTATTTCTCATTTTTGTGCTAGCCTTTCATTCCACTCATTGAACTTTCAGGGTTTGTTTGGGTTTTTTTTGAACTTTGGCCCTTTTAAAGCTTCAAGTACATGTTACTCATAGTAACCCTTCTGTTTGCACATTACTAGAATTAGGCTGTGATTGCTTGCACCAAGGAGACTGTCAGTTTTCAGTTCAGTGGTCAGTCTATCCTTATCCATCAGAGTGAGGTCCAATGCATAGATAATTTTACTTCCAATTTGTGTGCAACAAATGTTAAAAATATATCGCTTAGGTGTTGGAATTCTGAGCATGTTTTACTAGTAGCAACATGAAATTTTTGACATGGGTCCTTGAGAACAGAGCTCCCCATCATAAAGCAATTTCTTTCTGCATGTTACAGGTTAGATGTTAAAGGTACTACCATATTTACTTACATCCAAGATGAGTTTCCCACCCCACACATTTGACATGGAGAGTTCAGGGTAGACCATGTGGTGCAGGGCTCAGAGAGGTATAGGAGAGACTGTACAGTGCGGGGAAGCACAAGGGAGACCACATGGTGCCAGTAGGGGAGAGATCGTGCAGTGTGTGGCCCGAAAGGAGCATGGGGGAGACCGCACAGAGGCAGGTGAGCTGCTGTTGCTGCTGCCGCTGCCATTGCCTGGCTGGAGGCTGCTGCATGGAGTAAATAATGGCTTGTGAGGGGACAGAGTCCCCAGCGGGGGGGGGTGGGTCGGTCAGGTGCCATGGCGGCAAGTGGCCCAGGTGGCAGGGGGAAAGGAAGAGGTGGGAAAGACACTCTGGAGGGGCAAGTGGTTGCGGGGAGAGGCCACAGGGAGCATGTGCTATGGGGTGCAAGGAATGGGGGTTAGACCACTCATCCCTTGCCACTGTTTTCTCTGCTGCAGCAGTGGGGGCATGAATTTAAGATGGCTCCCCAATAGTTAGCTTCTGTACAAGGAAAATTGTAACAAATTTGGAACAAATTTATAATTTTTGCCAATGACACCAAACTCTGGGGTAAAGCATCCACACCTTGACCTGTTATATTTTCTCAGCTGCGCTAACCTCTTGGGTATAGGAGCTTGTAAAGGATAAGCTAGCAGAATCCTACAGCATTTCACTTCTTAAGGGTATCTAGTCAATATCCAGAGCAGTTATGTCTGGAGGTGTATTGAGCATGTTCATTTTTTGCTGAAGCTTTGGGAGGTGCTAACCCCAACTGGGCATGTACTAAGTACAGTGGTCAGAAGATTAGTTCATAGATTTCATAGACATTAGGGCTGGAAGAGACCCTGGAAGATCATCGAGTCCAGCCCCTTGCCCCAGGGGCAGGAAGTCTGCAGGGATCATAGGATCCCAGCAAGATAAGCATCCAAATGTGTTGTGAAGGCATTCAAAGTGGGTGCTTGAACTGCCTCTGGCGGCAGTCTATTCCAAACCTTGGGGGCTCGGACAGTGAAGAAGTTCTTTCTTATGTCCAGCCTGAATCGGTCACTGTGGAGTTTGTGACTGTTCGATCTTGTCATCCCTTGGGGGGCTCTGGTGAACAGATGTTTCCCCAGATCCTGATGAGCACCCCTGATAAACTTATAGGTGGCCACCAGATCACCCCTGAGCCTGCACTTTTCCAGGCTGAATAGCCCCATGGCTCTCAGCCTCTCATCATAAGGTCTGTTTTCCTGACCTCTGATCATGCGCATGGCTCTCCTCTGCACCCTCTCAAGCTTCTCCACATCCTTTTTGAATTGTGGAGCCCAAAACTGGATGCAGTACTCCAGCTGCGGCCTCACCAAGGCTGAGTACAGCGGGAGAATGATGTCCTGGGATTTGCTTGAGAAGCATCTATGGATGCAAGCCAGCGTTTTGCTCGCTTTACTGGCCGCAGCATCACACTGAAGGCTCATGTTCATCTTGTGGTCAACCATGACCCCCAAGTCCCTTTCATCTGTAGTGCTAACCAGCGTAGCACTACCAAGCCTATAAGCATGCTACAAGTTTTTCCTCCCAAGGTGGAGAACCTTGCATTTTTCAGTGTTGAACACCATCAGGTTCTCGTCCGCCCATTTCATGAGTCTGTTTAGATCCACCTGGATCACCCTCCTATTCTCAGGTGCAGATGCTTTACCCCAGAGTTTGGTGTCGTCAACGAACTTGGCCAGTCCGCTTCTGACACCAATGTACACATCATTGATGAAGATGTTAAATAGTATAGGCCCTAGGACAGAGCCCTGTGGGACCCCACTGGTCACAGAGCACCGAAGCAATTGGCTCCCGTTGACCACCACCCTCTGGGTCCTACCACGGAGCCAGTTCCCCAGCCAGCAGATCGTGGTGCCATCAAGGCCGCAGTTAGCCAGTTTAGCCAAGAGGTGATCGTGGGGTACCAGATCGAAGGCTTTTTTAAAGTCGAGGTATACAACGTTGATCCCTTCCCCCCTTGTCCAGGTGATAAGTCACGTGGTCATAAAAGGAAATGAGACTGGTTGAGCAAGACCTACCCGCAACAAACCCATGGTGGGTATCCCTCAGGATATTGCCTTCAGCTAGTCTGTTAAGGATGGCCTCCTTGATAATCTTTTCTAAGACCTTCCCCAGGATAAGAGGTCAGGTTGATGGGCCTGTAGCTTGCTGGTTTCACTTTCCTCCCTTTCTTGAAGATAGGCACGACATTGGCCCTCTTCCAATCATTGGGCACTTCACCAGAGTGCGAAGAGCTCTCAACGATCCGTGCCAGGGGCTGAGCTATGATGCTCGCCAGCTCCCTGAGTACCCTTGGGTGTAACCCATCAGGGCCGGCTGACTTGAAGGTATCCAGCTTGTCAAGGTGTTCCTTCACGAGGTCAACTTCTATGGAGGGCAAGGAATCTCCCTCACCTGGGCCTCCCTGACCCATAGTGGGCAGGGCCGCGCCATGGAACTGGTGAAAAACTGATGCAAAGTACCCATTTAGCAAGTTTTTCCTGGGCGTCAGTTGTCAGTTGCCCTTCTGGTTTAGCAGGGGTCCAGTGTTGCCCTTGCTTTTCCTCTACCTCCCCACATATCTAAAAAAGGACTTTTTATTTTCCTTGATATTTGTAGCTAGCTGGAGTTCCATCACAGCCTTGGCTTTCCTGATTTGCTCTCTGCAAGTCCGGACCAGAGCAGAGTATTCCTCCTTGGTGGTGGTTCCAGTCCTCCGTCCTTTGTAGGTCTTCCTTTTAAGACGTAGGAGGTCCGCCAGTTCCCTGGAGAGCCAAGGGGGCTGCTGTGACCTTTTGCGGCCTTTCCTCTGAGATGGGATGGACTTCGCTTGCACATCCAGGATTGCTCCCTTGAGGAGCAACCACTCGTGCTGAACTCCCCTCTCCATTGGGTTGTGGCCTTTTAGGGCCTCTCTGACAAGCCTCCTTAGCTTGTCAAAGTCAGCTTTCCTGAAGTCGAGGACTTCTGTATTACTGACTGACTTTCCAGCTTTACGGCAGATGGTGAAGGTGATCAGTTCATGATCACTGTCACCCAGCTTCCCTTCTGTCGTTAGGTTGCTGATTTAGGTCATCTCTGGTTGCTAGTACGAGGTCGAGCAGCGCTTTACCTCTTGTCAGGCCATAGACTTCCTGCGTCAGATAGAGGTCGTTCACACATGAGAGAGAGCTTTGAAGCCACTCGGAGTTGACCGAGCGCTCCTCCCACGAGATGTTTGGGTAGTCAAAGTTGGACATCTTGAATTTGGGTGAGTGAATACTCATCCTGTTTCCTCCCTCTCCCCCCCAGTTTTGGGAGAGGAGTCTGATATACTCCACATCTAATAACCCCTTCTCATTTATTAGTTGGGTTACTAACTCTTGATTGTTCCAGGTTCTGTTCTTGGAACTTACCTGTTTCTGCTTTAGAGTTGCTACTTGCCTTTCTTTCCTCTCTTTTTTTAAGTGGCATATATCCAGTTGATTTTTTTTTTTTTTATTTATTTTTTTTAACATTCCAGGCCTGTGTTTTGTTTTTGTTTTTTTTACGTTTTCATTTGGGTTAATTAATTTCATTATCAGATTCTTGTTGGTTTTCTTGCTCATCTAGCACTGGCATATACATAATCCCCCCCCTCATCTCTTGATTCTTTATACTCGTGCTACTTTGGGTCTGTGTAGAGTGTTTCCCTCACTTTAGATGCTAATTTTAAGCACTAACTACTTTCAGTTCACCTTCTGTTAAGGCAGAAGCCGTCAAATCATTCAGTCCTCTGTTCCACAAGATCAGAACCCTCTACAGTATATAATACTACTTAGATAGCTAACAGTTTACAATCTTCTGTCTATCCTCTTGCCTCCACAGAACAGAAGTGATCTCAGAGATCCTCTGTATTTTCCTCATTTTCTGTTCTTTTTAAGGATCCTGTAGCCTTCTTGATCTGAACTAGAATACTATGTCTAATGGATACCAGGTTTTCCGCATACAACATGAACCTTTCACAAAATTGGGTTGCATATTATTAAGCAGAGAAACTGACTTTCTGCCCAGGATAGAAGTTCCTGGCTTTGATTTCTGCTCCACAGTGCAGAACTGCAGTATTACTATTCAAGCAGCTGAGAGAGTTAGTAGTCTTAGTAGCTCATTGTTCTTCACTTACAGATATTAACAATCATCTCTCATTGTTAATGGTCTTGATATTCTACTAATCAAGATAACCTTTCTTAGGGCAGTTTTCCGGTCTGCTATCTGCTCCTGATCTCTCTTCTCCTATTTCATAGCTCTAGATTAGCTTGTTTCAAAACCATAGATCCACGCATGGAGACCAGTTTTCAAAAGCACCTAAGGCAGGGGTGGGCAAAATACGGCCCGTGGGCCACATCCAGCCCACGGGGTCTCTAAAAAAAAAATTTAGAAAATTAATATTTATCTGTCTTTGGTTCCTGTAAAAAAAATGACAGGAACCAAGGGCAGTAGGACACAGGGGAAGCCCAGTGGGCTCTCGCAATAGCAGGGCTCGCCCGGCCTGCCCCCTCCCCCAGCCGGAAGCCCCATTAGGGACTTCTAGCCTGGGACCATGTGGCTGCCCTGGCTGGAACCTCAGGTAAGTGGGAACAGGGGGAGGACCCCAGGAAAAAGCTGAGCCCGGGGAAAAGCAGCCCGTCACCCTGTGGCCAGTGCTTTCTGCTGCAGCTGCTCGCAGCCTGCATGGATGGGGCTGTCCTGAGCAGTCACAGGCAGCTCCAGGCAGGCTGCAAGCGGCTGCCGTGGGGTGCTGGTCACGGGGTGGGGGAGGGACTGCTTTTTCCTCCTGCGTTCTGCACCAGCTTGTAACCCATCCCCGCAGGATCACAGGTGTGTGTACAGTGTGCTGGAACTCTGAATGCAATGTAGAAATGGCTATTGCCAATTTAAATGTGAGGGGATACAGCAGTGTTATTTTGTGTGAGGAGAGCAAGCCCACATCATTTTATTATACCTGTCTATGCATTCAGTCTTTGTCACAACATATGGTTGAAACCTCTTGCCTTGCTAAACACTTGGGGAAGTGCATTGGTTTTTTCTCCACCACTGTTTAAGACAGAAGCTTGTTTATATTTTGAGGCTTGCATGAGGGCAGTCATTCCTTTCAAATGACTGAAAACTGCCTAGCTTTACAAATACACTCCTAAAGAAATATCTACCTGGGAACCATAGATTTCTGACAAAAGGATCAGGTTTAGTCTTTAATTGTGTCAGCCTTTGGGCTGACTAAAATTATTTGCTTCAACCCTGTGATTGGTCCTATGAGAAATGTTTTTATCTCTCCCTGAATAAATTTAGTGGAAGAAAAGAAGAGTGTGTGTGGAGAGCTGTGCTTGTGATGGGCAGGATATAACTGGCAGGAATGGGCTATTTCGGCTCAGTGTCGCGCTGAAGATCGTTTTTTCTCGCTAAAAGCTTAGGTCTCATGGGCTAGCAGTCAAATATGAGGCTAAGGGCCCAGAGTTAAGGAGGCATAAATGACTAATAGTGGAGAGAGTTCAGAATGAAGAATGAATTGTTTTTTAGTGTAACAGTCATGGCCTGTAATTCTAATATTGTGAGTTAGTTATTCTAAATAGCACCAACATTTAAAAGTGGGATGACAGTTGCACCAAGTTTGCATGAGGCAGGACTAAAATGAGGAATATATTTCTTTGTGAACAACAGTTAAGGAATGCATGTGATACTATAGCAAGGAAACTATGTCTGAGAACCCTTTTCCAGCAAATATTGTAGCACCTTTATCTAATGAACCCAATAAATTGTTTTGGGCCTGAATGTGAGCTCCCATTAGTCCACTGCTCTAGTTCTGTTGGTTTGAGTTAACTGTTTTCACTGGTGCCAGGGTAATCCAAGTCTGGACCTTTAGAAAGGCGAAAGATAAATTTCCGAGAAGCCTTTTTTGAATAAAGTGAATGAATTTGGAGATAATGATAGTGTTTATAACTGTCCCCCGCCTGTACTGGGGGCACTGGGAGTGAGTGGGAGCATAGGGCCCACACCGGTGTCAGCCGGGCCCAGGGCAGGGCGGCAGGAGTACAGGGTCCTAGCTGGCAGGGGCTCTGTGGAGCCGGGCCAGCTCTCCCCTCTCCTTGCTGGTGCAGCCTAGCCCAGCTCCACAGCCCCTGCCAACCTGCACCCTGCTTTGGGCCCCACTGGTGCTGGCCCTGGGACATTGGTCCCAAGATGGTGACCAGGTGGTGGGGCACCTGTCAAGGGGCGGAGCTACCCATGCGGCCCTTGACAGCTTGCTAAAACTGGGTAAGCGGCCCTCTGCCCAGAATAATTGCCCGCCCCTGACCTAACACATCCGCTTTAGTTAATCAGGAAAAGGAGGCAGGGCTAGCTGAAAAGTAGTCTCTGTCCGTGCTCTATGCAGCCATAACTGGAAAAATCTTTTTTTCTTCATTCTGCCTTTTAAACACAAGGTGCACATTATATTCTGGGGCATGTTGTGTGTGAGAAAATACAGCATTTTAAGTTGCAAGGTAAACAGCATATACTGTGCTGAAACTATTACAACCTTTTCCTGAGAATTACATGCATTTTAAATTTCAAACTGAAGTACTCAAAATAGAGAAGGAAAAATATACATATATTTTTTCAAATATAGAAAACCACTTTTTAAAATATATGATTGTGAGTTAATACTTTGCTTATCCATTTGAATGATCAAACTTCAATAAAGTAAAAAGAGACTTAATTTTGGCCACAAACAAGCAGGAGTGTATGCAGTGTAAAGCTATTTAGGAAGCTGATGGTATCTGAAAATAGGGCCTGAGAATGTTAGTGCCTTTTAAACAGTAGGATGACTATTTTGAGGCTATGGCATTTTTCCTTCTTTAGAGCTAAGAGGTGTTAAACATTAGTATCTTCGCAAAATGGAGGATCCTTGTGGACAAAAATTCATCATCCAGAACTTCATTTTTTTAAGGTATGATCAGAGTCTTCAGGAGATCCTTGACTTCAAGGACAAAAATGCAGAAGATTCAGAAACTATTCATAGGTAAGTGTATTTTTAATTCCAATATGTATGTGTGTATATGCGTGTGTGTGTGTGTATGTGTAAGTCCTGGCAACAAGAAATTTCAAATCAAGAAAGCTGTTTAATGTTTTTGACATTTAATAAGGGATAGAAGAATAATAAGAGCTACAGACTAAATCAAGGAGGTGGGGAGGGGAAGGCATTACCTTTTGCTTATTTGATTTGACCAAATTTGAATTCTGATCTTGGAACTGCTATTTAAAACTAAAGACATTGAAAAGTTATAAGATGGAACATAGGGTGTAAGCTAGGAAATGGCACCTCAGTTTATCGGTGTCTGTATAGTAGTTGCCAGATAGCAATCAAAGCAAAAGTTACTGGTCCCGCTTCAGTTTTTAAGGATCATCTATACCTCTGAAAAACTACTGTTATGCATTGCATTTCTAATGACCTTTTCAATAAAGGGCATCATTTATGTGAATACAATCAAACCCCATATCTTTCTTAAGGCTAGGTCCTTTGCCTTTCTGCAAAGTGAAGGTTAATGAAGAAAGCAGGGGTATACATAGTCATAGCAAACAACTGTACAGCACTACTGACACGCTCCAGCTGTTTGCTGCTACTTTTACTTCAAAGGATGTCACTTTTCCAATTTGCTGCATAGGACTGCTGATTAGCTCCAGCTGATCATAGGAAAGTAGTGCTGTAAGGAACCTCATGAGGTCATCTAGCCCAGTCCCTTGCTTGAAGCAGGATCACCCCTGATTTTAAGCCACCCCAGTCAAGTGGCTGTCTAACCTACTCTTGACAGTTTCCAGAGATGGAGATTCTGCAACTTCTCTAGGTAGCTTGTTCCTACAGGTGACCACCCTTGTAGTCAGAAAGTTCTTCCTGATCTCCAACCTATATTACTGTTGCTGTTTGAGGCCCTTGCTCCTAGTCCTGTCCTGTCCCGTCCCGTCCCCTACAGCCACAGAGAAAAGGGTATCTCCATCCCCTTTATAATTGCCCTTCAGGTATTCGAAGACTCTGACTAAATCCCCTCCCAGACATCAGTTTTCCAGACTGTAACCCTGGCTCTTTCAGCCTTTCCTCATGCTTCCCAGGTCTCTAATTATTTTTCCTGTGCTCTGTTAGACTCGTTCTAATTTATCCACAACTTAAAGCATGGGGCCCAGGAACTGGACAGAGTATTACAGATGAGGCCTCACCAGTGCTCAGTATAGCAGAAAAATCACTTCCCTTGATTTTAAAGGGACGTTACTGTTAATACAAGAAGTTTGGAGAAAAAGTGCCCTTTGAAGTGAAAGCCTCAGCAGACAATTGAACAGTTCATTTTAATTTGGCAACCTGCTGCAGATTAAGTGGGTTGTGAATCGCTCAGATACATGTGATCTTAATTCTGCTGTATCAAGTGCAGCTGATCCTTCATCAGTTGGGGCAGTAAGTATTGATCTTTAGTGAGAATCTGGTTTATTTAATGAACTTTGAATTCACTTGAAAGTAAAAAAAAAAAAATTAAAAAAAAAAATTGACCATGCATTGATTTTAGTTTTACAGATACCGTGATCAAAATCCGGAATCGACATAATGATGTAATCCCTACTATGGCTCAGGGTGTGGTTGAGTACAAGGAGAGCTTTGGTATTGATCCAGTAACCTCCCAGAATGTGCAGTACTTTTTGGATCGTTTCTACATGAGTCGCATATCAATTAGAATGCTTCTTAATCAACATTGTAAGTGCTGCTGTTTAAAGGGGCAGGGCGGAGTCGAATCGAAGGTGTCTATATTTTTTAAAAAATGTGTTAACTATTTGTTAACTATTTGTTGTTTACTTAAATAAGTACTACTACATACTACAACTTCCTGATCTGTTTATCAACAAATGAGCGCATACATACAAATGCACTGTCAAGTTCATCAACCATTCCATCCCCCTCTATTTTTTAAGGAATGCCAAAGAGGGATTTATAGAATGTTTGTTCTTTTCCATACAGCACTGCTGAAGATGTAATTTAACAGTTTTTACATTTTTTTATGTTTGTTATTAAATGCTATTTCTTATTTGGCAGCTTTGCTTTTTGGTGGAAAAATTAAAGTTAATCCAGCTCACCCAAAACACATTGGAAGCATTAATCCCAACTGTGATGTTGTAGGAGTTATTAAAGGTAAATTCCAGCAGACCTGCTGAACAAGAACTTTGAAAAGGTACATGAAAATCTATAGAGTATGAACTAACATAAAACAGGTATTTAATTTCTTCCTTAGCTGGGACAGAAAATTTCAGTTCAAATGTCATGTTTTGGCAGTTCTACTTGTCTTTCATTTTTGGGTAGAAAATAATGAACCATCTGCAATACAGTTCAGAATATCTTTCACTTTTGCTGAACAACTTATCAGAAAACTATAACTGGAAAAAGTATGTGGTGGAAATGCTCATTTTCTTTAACTTGTTTCTGCTTTGATATATTGTAGATGGCTATGAAAATGCGAAGACGCTTTGTGATTTGTATTACATGAGCTCTCCAGAACTTGTCCTTGAAGAGATGAATGGTATATGTTTGGGTTCAATGGGGCCTTGTTTTTTTTCAGTGTAATGATAGTCTCCTTTGAAGTGACTAACAGAAAAATGTGTTGTCCTTTCATACTTCATATGCTTAGTGGGTCTTCCTGTAAATCCCAGACAAGGCTTTACATTTGTTTTCCATCCCCTTCTGCTCCTAATTAATTTTTAAATAAGATTAGTGTGAAGAGAAGTTTTATGTTAGTTTTACAACTGTTGGTCTAAGAGCTTTCAGCTGGTTTCCTTGTCTCTTCACCTTTTTAGTCTTTGCGTTAAGGTGTAGACGAAAACCATAGAAAATCTTGTCTGTGACTTTATTATATATTCCAGCCTATCTGCTTTAATATCTCTGAAATCCTTAATTAGGATCAGACTGTGTTCTAGTTTTTCACTAGCTGTCAGGTACTTGAGCTTACACTTTGATGTAGGTACAGTTTGTCTGTGGTGGCCAGCCTGTGCTACAAGTGGCACAGGAAGCCTCTGTGTGTGGCACATGGCAGACCAGGGAAGGGACAGGCAGCACAGCAGCAGATAAGGCAGGAAGCAGAAGGCAGAGCAAGAGATTAGATGCAGAAGCAGATTGGACAGAGGTAGGGGATCCTAGTGGCATGTGGGGAGGAGGGTGCAGGGTGATTTCTAGGATACCTGCCAAATCTGGCAACAAGGATGGGTACATAAACATACAATTGTAAAATATCGTTAATCAAGTTAATTTAAAAATACACCCAGGGTGTAACGAAGCTGCACTATCCTTTAAGAGCTAAAGCTCAGTTCAGGTAGGCTTACAAAAATATGAAGTAATCTAAATTGCCTCTACAAATAATTTGAGGTGCAGGAGTGCACATACAGTTATTTATACCTACAAAACGGAGGTCAGAGAAGATGAAGCCTAGTTAAGTCTGGGTTTAAGTGAGGCCTTTATTGTGCTGCTTACCAGTTTTGTTTTTCCTGCTCTAGCAAGTCTGTCATTCCATATCAAGGTAAAAGAGGCCTCCCTTAAGAATGTTGAGCCTGATAGATATAAATACTAGTAGAAATTTGCAATTTTCCTGTCCTACATACAACAATTACAATTTAGTTATGCTTTTAAATAACTATTTATCACTTATTCATAATAGGAATTATGTTTATTAATTACATGACTGGATTTCTTCTATTATACTTGGATCACGTATCTAGAAATTTAGGTATATTATATACACTTGGTACCATAACTTTGTGATTACTCCTTAATGCAGGTAGCTGGTCTTATGAATTAGTGTTAATAACAAGCCTTAAATTTGAAAGCATGGCCATAGTATAATTATTATGCAGCTGCAGTGTAATTAGTTGCTATTGTTAAGTGTTAGTTAATTTTTAATAAAACCATATTTAAAGAAAATGTATAAACAGTGTATATTTGTCAAATATATGGTTGTAACCTATAGCTAATAAAATCTCTAAATTTGATCTTTGAACCTTGGTATTAAAACACCACTGTTAGCATGAGTGATGGAACAGCACAGGTCTGGCATCTCTTTCTTAGATCCAATATTTTTGAAATATCAAATGACATACCACTGTAGTAGTGCTTCAAAAGTATTGACTGCAAAGAATGTATGCAAAATATAATAAGCATGAACAGAAATAAAATCTACTGGTCCTGAAAATATTTTCAGGCACTGGTTCTGGTCTAGTGATCAAAAAGGAGGAAGAGTCTAACCCTAGTTTAAGGACTAGTTTCCATTGAAATACTCCTCCTACTTTCTTCTTTTAACAAGTGAGCATAAAAAAGATGTGCAAGTTAGGTTGAGCAGAATTAGTTATAATTTGAACATTTCAGATGTTTCTGTGATAATTCTTTTAGACATTTGCCAAAGTATTAAAACAGCAGACTGTTCAAACATATACTGTAATGGAATTATCTTAAATGGTTTTAGAAATTTATTTCTACAAATAAAAAGTTCCAAATGTATATTCTGTCAAGATTCTGAAATTTTTTTGACAAACAGGATAGTATAACATTTCTATTTAGCTTCTT